ACAATGTTTCCTAATGAAGAAACATTTCTTATGCTACTATTTTTCAAGTATTTGTTATTAAAAAAAAACATGTAAAAACAATAGAATATGTACATAATATGTGCAAGTAGGTAGGTAGTAGGTATTAGGCATAGGTATTTAGTTGCAAAAATTATGTTCTTACCTCTTTTATTTTATTTATCATTCTTTCGTAGGCGTCGTTCTTTTTATTTCGGTCGGAATAATCTTTAGATTTAATTTTCCGGAGTGCAGGCAGATATTTGTATAAACTAATTAATTCAGACGTGAATTCGTGATTTTACATACTCAAATCTACCATTTTTGAGTGACGATGACGAACGACCTCATGAAACGACGAGCGAGCCTCGACACAAAGTACACTCGACTGTGGCTTGTACACTGAACGCCCAACCACACGCACAGACAAGTACGCGCAGGCCGGGCTTGCGCAGGCAAAATTTCAAGCAAGTCGAAAAATGAGCAGGCGGCGCTGTGGGGTTGGCGCGTGATACAGTTTTACCAACTACACGCACCGTGTTCCGTGTACAAACCGGCCTGCGCAGGCAAAACTGTGGTGAAGCTCGTGCGTGTGGTAGGCCCATAAGTACCAATAAAACTCTTAAGCAGATTATTTACTCTATGGTAAGGTGTCTAGGTGGAGTCTTCGTTTTGCGAACGCATCTTTTCTACTGCATATGTTTTTTTTATATTTATTCCAATTTATTCAGTCAGTCATTCGTTCATCAAAGCTGTTATTTTGTTTTCGTTAAATTAAACCTGTAACTAAATTTCTAATTGTACTATCGTTCATCAAAATTCGGCATCGATACTTTATGACAGATACAGTATCGAGTAAAAGTATCGATACCTGCATGGTATCGTTTCATCCCTAAGCACAGTTCCACAAAGTTACTCTATGTCAGTTCCACTGAGCAAGTAATCTATACACAGTTCGTAACCGTACAGAATACATTTAAAAAAAAATATAATTTTCTTTTCTATTTTGGACAAAGACAGAAATAAAGTTTCCTTTTGTTCTTCTTAGGGATATTAATTTACTATCGATATATTGAATTTATTCGATATTAACCATACGATATATCGGTTTATTCGATATTTTGACAAAGATTTTTTTTATTTCGATATATCGATATATTTATAAATATATCGACCGATATTTTTAAAATACTAACGCTGACTCATAATGACAATAAAACCAAAGTAAAGGAGATTGGCAAACCGAGTGTCATTGAAATGTATCATGTACATACCAGAAGCGGGATATATTGAATTTATAGATCATAATGCCAGTAACATTTCCCAAAAAATAATAATTCAACAGAACAATATGTCTTCCACGCGCTTTAGGTTCGTGGCGGTATCTTTTATTTACTCCTTCTTCTGCATGACTTCTCCTTTTTTATTTTAATACTTCCATTCCCATAAATAAAAGCTAGGGGTCATAGTTTTAGAAAGGGATAAAAAACCTCCGTTCTCTATCTCTCACTCCTTCCATTTTATTGGTAACAGTGGTATCCTGTCCACCAATTCATTGGTGGTATCCTGTGAATTTTAAGTTACCTAAGAAACTTTATTAGTTATTTCAGAAAACGATTAAGAGTATGTTTCTGCAAATAATAATACTTTTTCGAAAAATTTCTCCACCTTAACTCATTATTTGTGTAATTAAGAAACCATAACAATTTTTTTTATAAATTGATTTAAATAAATCTAATAAAAAATGGCAAGATCTAATGAGTTATTTTCAAAGGCTGCTCGAACAGTCAACCAACAAGCCGTGTCCGTCTAGTAGAAAGAGAAAGAAGAAGAGAGACGACTAGCCTTTTTCTCTATAATCGCGAATGCGCATTGGATGAAAAACCTACGGATGAATACCGACCAATCACACGACTGCGCAGCAATACCGTCCAATCGCTATAATGCGCAGCGTCACAAGAGAGAAAGATAGCTAGCCGTCTCTCATCTTTCTTCGATTTCTACTAGACAGACACTTCCGCTTGTAGTAGAGTACATATCTCCCCTACTCTATTCTTATACCTCTATGACGGCCACAGTGCACGCTGGTTCAGAATCAGGTTGAGACTCAGAAAACAGGCTCGTGAGATGTCAGCTTAAAACACGTTTATTGCGGGTGGGTTTTTACGTTTTACGACCTACCCGGACTTCAGAGAGACGTCAGTTGGGAGCCTAGACGTCGTTAATAAGTATGAAATATGATAATTGCAAAATTCTTCAATATATTACGATTTAAACATTGATGATACTCTTGACGTTTAGTGGGCTATAACTTCGCGTTCATGAAATCCGCGCCGCGCGAGGCGCGCGTTTAAATGTTCATATTGTGTTATAAAGGTCCGTGCGAGCGCTCTGGTTTGTTTGCCTTTTTAATAGTTATAGTATTGTATATCAGGTTACTATTACTACTACTACTATTTCTCCAGCGATGTTTTGCCAGCACCTATCAACGACATTCCTATTTGAATGCTTTTTGTCTACTTATCCCATACAGCAGGGTTAAGAATAGCTTTCGCGATAAGTGCTTTTATAATCATTATGTTCTTCTATATTAATTTAGGTGAGCAATTTTCAAAGCGTTACTTCTAAAGATAAAGTAACTGGCAAAAAATATAATGATGTCGATTCTGGCATGATTCTCTAAAGCTAAACTTAAATTTGACAAGAGTGCATCCTTGTCCTTCTTTATACAGAATGAAAAGGTGAGACTGACCTTAAATTAAGTTTTAAGTTCAGAGAATCACGCCAGAATTGACACCATTATGTGGTTAAAATATTTACTTTAATTTTGAAATAAATATATTTGTGCTGCTCTTTGACTTATTAATATTATAATAAAAATTTCTAATATTTTTTAAGAAAAAATTTTCTGTCAAAAATATGCTTGATGCAAAATATAGTAGTTTCGCCTACTATTTTCTTTTTAAATATTGTATTTGATCCCCTGATATAGTACAATACTATATTTTATAGTAGGGCTGGCAACCCTACCTGCAATCCGAGCGGCGCAGGTGAATTCAGAATCTGAAACAAGAATGACCAAACATGAAAGTCTCTGACTCTGAACCCTGCGTAGGCAACCAGTTGCCTGCTGCCACTATGGCCACCCTGTTTAAACCAAAGACTTTATATAATACCTAGACTGTGCACCATCGCGTGAAAAACGGTCCGAGCGAGAGGGCTTCCAATGGTAGTGTGTTCCTTTCTAATGAAGTGACCATATTCAAGCATAACGCGGGACAAAATTTGTTATTAGTATTTGTTATTTAATATAGCTTGTAAAGAGGATTGTGTTTAGTATCTGCTTCTGTCTTAACTGTAAGTAATACGTGATGATAAGTTATAAATACCTACAAAACAAGGAACTAACCGCGACCGCGTTATTTAATAATTGATTCATAAAATTCACACAACTCATGTTCATGTTAAGAAAAAAAAACTCATCTACCTCCAAAATTCATGGTTCACCTAATGAATATGATTGTAAGGTTTACCCGTGAAAAGAAAAAGGGCTACTGGGATAAGATTCATTGTAGCACCCTGTTACACAACACGAGTTCACCATTAAAAAAAATACACTTTAATAAGCAAATTTACAATATTTCAAATCAAAGCGGGTAAATCAATTTAACGATCAAGTGAAAAAATCACCATCTTACATTCAGTATTACCAGGCTCAACCATTTAAATACTACTTTTACTCTGTATTTAGATTTATTTTAAAAATATTAATAAATATTTTATTATTTATAAGAACTGTAGAAATGTTTAAATGCGTTTCATAGTTTACGAATCGTTCGTATCGGTAATTAATCAGTAAATCACAAATACAAAAGGATGACATCTTCTACCATTTCTACCAAACCCAATGATAAATTGAGCTGGCAAGACGTTAGAAAGGGACACACTACCGTTGGGTACTTTCTCACTCAGGACCGTTTTTACTAGCGACCGCTTATCAAGATAATAGCTATCCTATTACTACAGATATAAATCTTACTTTAGATTAATTAACGATTTTTTTTCGTGCACAGTCTAGGTATTATATAAAGTCTTTGGTTAAATTTAAACTACACTGTTTATTTTTCGCGCTTGTTATCTGATTCTGAACCAGCGTGCACTGTGGCCGTACCCTATAAAGCATTATGCCGCTTAATGCGCTGTAGTGCTGTAATTGGAAAACTACCTTAATGCTTTTTTGCGTGTTTGCTATTTGTAAACTTGACAATAGTCTGTCTTTCTCATGCTTTTCAAGGAATGAAAAGGACAAGCTGATGTTAAATTTGCAAATAGCAGACACGAATAACCAAGTGAAGTGCCGGCATAAAATATCTTTACCATTATCACCATAGACAGTCAAACGTCACGTCATCGCAGCCGCAATGAATGTTGTCAGCAGCTGTAGCGTAGGTTTGGAACGTAATTCTAAATTTTTCGTCGGATTTTATGATTTGCTATCTATCCGATTTTTTAGTTTGTATGAGTAATTAATTTAAAAGTCAGTGATTTTATAGTTGTTTTAAACAATTAAATATACCTGTTAACATAGATGAATGGTTGGTCTCGCTTCACTTGACTAGATACCGCCGGCGTACTTGTCTAATGCAGCAACAAATACGATACCGAAATCGGCATACCCGAGCTTTCACCGAGCCAGTAAACCTGAAAGTTGTGTATGGGATGTACGTAGTGAATGTCTTATAAAAATTTGGTGTTAATCGAAAGTAAAGTACCAGTTTATGCAGTGGAATAATAAATAACAAGGACGCTGGGATCACATAACATCAATAAGTATAGTAAAATTTCGATATTTCAACATAAAATAACATGAACCCTAAACGTCATTCAGGCGTTGCCGCGTGTAAAATAATCAAGTCCCTATGGTTGAGATTTGTATTTAATTTGTTGTTAGTGTTTTTTATTATTAAACCTATGTTACTAACTATTAAACTTGCAATTAAACAATGATCAAGGCTCAATTAATAGAAATAGTAAAATTGCAAAAAACTAATTACAATCGCTATGCTGTGGAAGAGTTGACCGCTGAATACGGTGTCACAATCCTGCGTCTGCCCCCCTATCACTACGAGCTCAATCCAATAGAGTTAGTTTGGGCTCAAGCAAAGGGGTATGTCGCCAGGAACAATAAAACTTTTAAAATAAAAGACGTAAAAAAATATTTGAAGAAGCTCTGAAGGAAGTGACACCTGAAAATTGGAGACAGTGCATCAACCATACCATAAAAGTTGACGACAAAATGTGGCAACTCGACCACATCATAGATGAATGTGTGGATTCATTTATTATAAATGTAACTGATTCCGATTCTGAATATACCGAATTCAGAATCGGAGTCAGAATCAATATCAACTGTAATGAATAAAAACGTATAAAATGACTTGTATTGTTTTACTTAATTCCTCTGAATCTCTTTAAACATTTTTTCCAGCTTTTGTAATAATGTTGTAGTTAGCAATTTTAATATGCTGGTAAGGTTCATATTTCTAAAATCATATTATTTCATAGGGTATGTATTACATATTTACAATAAAAAAAACGCTTTGATACTTAATAAAAGTCTATTGATTGCCGAACATCACTATTGTAGCGGGTCACCCTTTTTTGTATCAGTGACAGTTGCACTTGTCCTTTTATTTACTGACTCGAATATTATTAATCGTACTAGTGAAGCGAGACCAATCATCATTTAACTAAGCCTGTACTGTCACTAATTGGAATAACCCAAAAAATGTGAATTTTACTGAAAACTAATTCTAAGTTTATCACTTTCTTTCGTTTATAGATTAATTAATTAGTTTAAGATCATGGCAGAAGAAAATCAATCTGGCGATTCATCTTTAGCACATAACAGTATAAAATCAGAGAATGAATCAAAAGAAAATGGTGATGCTGGGAAGGCAGACAAAGTCAAGAGTATGTTGATGAATGTAAATAGTAAACCTGCAATATTTCGTGAGATGTATTTATTATGTTTATAATTTATTCACTTTCAGTCGATATTCTTCTGAAGGCAACTGGAAATGCCCCTATTATGAAAAAGAAAAAATGGGCTGTAGACGCAGAGAAACAAATTGGGTGGATCATGGAGTTTGTCAAAAAATATCTGAAACTAGAGCCTGATGAGAAATTGGTATGTTTAATTAAATTGCTTATCTAATGTTAATACGAAAAACTTATTATAGTCATAATGTGTTAGTCATCATTTTGAATGTTGTTTGAATACTATTGTGAATCGTTTTCTACTTTAATGTTTATTTTTTTGTTATTATTATGATGATTGGTGTTTATTTAATTACAGTATGAGGTGCAAAATTATATTATTGATCTAATGATGTGACCCTAGTTGATCTCAATTAATAATTTTGAATTGAATGAAAGTCAGTAATATTATGACTAATTTAAGAATCTATGATAAAAACTCATGCACTAACTTGAGTGTATCTTAGTTATTAAGTACCATATTAATTGAACTCATAAAATATACTTTTTACATTACATTTATTATATGATGTGTAATGTTTAAAATGTTTTTTTTTTTATTATAACAGTACCATGTGATATTTTGTTAATAACTTTTGTTTTTATTTCAGTTTTTGTATGTGAACCAAACTTTTGCCCCTTCTCCAGACCAAATAGTGAAGAATTTGTATGAGTGCTTTGGAACAGATGGCAAATTAGTTTTGCACTACTGTAAAAGCCAAGCTTGGGGATGAACAGCTATGTTCTTTTACAGTTGAACAGCATTTAGGTGAAACCAAAGACAACAACGTGAATAATTATACAAAAAATATTTTTATGAAATGTAGATATTACGTATGACGGAGCTTCACTTGGCTATTCGTATTTGCTATTTGTAAACTTGAAAAGTCTGTTCTTATCATACTTTATAAGGAATGAGAAGGACAGACTGATGTAAAGTTCACAAATAGCAACACAAATAACCAAGCTAAGAGCAGCTATTACATAATGGCAAAGGACATTGATAGAGTAGATGACACCAGCTCTGCAAGATGTATAAATAGTTTTCATGCGACTGTCACCATCTAGCCACTGAAGATAAGTAAAGTCTTGTTGTTATGTACCTAAGTTTGGATCTAACTACCTACTGTATCAATGTGAATTTGCCTTTATTATGGAGGTGTGTGATACCTACAGTTAAATTACTTGCATGTCATGAATGTAAGGAATATATTATTATTTATATTTTTTTTTAAATTTTCTGTAATAAGGAATTATTGCATACCTTTTGTATTATTCTTATGTTATAGAAATTATCTCATAGAATATGAAAGTCGTCTCCAATGAGATAATTTTAATAATCTCTCATCAATAATTATTATATTAATGAAAATCAGCCCAAATCAAAATCAGAGTTAAAACCAATAATGGCATATAGTTAAAGCTGAGGAGTTTGATGGCGCAGGTGGTTAGAGCATTTGGCTTGCAATCATTAAGATTAAGCAGCTTTCCCAAATGTCATTCATTGGAAGGGTGACCAAAAACTTAATATCTCGAGCTCCTCTGTGCTTCGGAAGGCACCTGTAAGGTAGTGGCCCCTGCATCTGCAGTCGATAGCAACCAACAATCTGCTTTGCATGGGTCACAGTCCCATCTCCCTATTCCATAGGGAAGGCCTGTGCCCCTGCAGTTAGGACGTTATTAGGCTGATGATGATGAGTTTAATGTACAGGATGATTTCAGAAACTATTGCTTTGAAAAATAATGAATATCACTTGTAAATATAGGTATACATGTGACAATTTATTTTTATTCTGCATACTATGTAAAGGTACAATTCCGCAATGGGCTGCAGGTGACACTGCTAGTTTCTATGAATCTCTATGAAAGTGATTCCGAGCGCGGCGACATGCCGCGGCTGCACAATGCATTATAATGTCGGTCAGCCGCAGTGTCGCCTGCGGTTGTCGCCTGCAGCCCATTGCGAAATTGTACCTTAAAACATTATATATGTGATTTTAGAATGTATTTAAAAATAGAATATGGAGATCCTGTACTGCCGTCCTCAAACTAAAACGCAGCTAAATGACACAATCAACTTTTGAGATATGGCCAAAAAACGGCTAGTAAACTTAAAATTATTGCTATTTTGTAACCATTCAGCACATGACGGATTTTTAGACTTAAACTATAAAAGATACGAATACTTGTTAAATACAGATCGATAGAGTATTAAAAACTATATAAGATGCAATTTAGGGCTGAAAAATCGACCATGTGTCACTTAGCCGTACTTTAGTTTGAGGACGGCAGTGTAAGTACTTGCTTGTTATAAAAAAAAAAGAATTGTATTCATACAAAATTTATTAAAATATAATAAATAAGTTTTGGTACATTGAACACATTGGTCATACGTTTATTCGTTATTGGGTTCCTATTTTCTATCCCCACCTCCACTGCTTATGAACTCCTTACTTGTAGTTTTTGTAGGCATGAAATCTGAAAGGAATTACAAATCAAGGGATAATTTGGAAACTATATTTGTTTTATTATTCTGCTTGGACAAATAAACTTTGTATTTAAAAATGACTCGAGTTTCCTCTCAACGGGGGATGGCCTCCCATTAGAAAATGAAACATTTGGGCTTTGGCCTACGTTCACCCAGCCCAGAAGGAAGAAGCCTCCCTAAGAATTGTTCGTGTTGACTAGGTATAGGAGTCTTGTATATCCCCATGTCGCTACTCCCTGTGGGACTTCAAGCCAAGCACAGACACCATGAGTTAGGATTAAGTAGTTTGCTCAAGATATTACACTGGCCTCCTAGACCACCAGGGTCTACCTGCAGCACTTCCCAGTTAGGATCCGCTCTTCACATTTATAAAATTTAGTAGAAATCTTAAAATGTTATACCGACCACCTGCTGGTGGTCTACCTGCAGCACTTCCCAGTTGGGATCCACTCTTCACATTTACAATATTTAGTAGGATTAAGAAGAATGCTTAAGATGTTATACCGACCTCCTGCTGGTGGTCTACCTGCAGTACTTCCCAGTTTTAGACCCGTTCTTGTCAGACTTCCGCGCTCCAAGCGCATCTATTTGCAATAAAAGAGGAGCTTGATGGCACAGGTGGTTAGCGCGTTCGGCCTGCGATCGTGGAGGTTAAGCAATTTTCGCAATTGTCGGTCATTGAAAGGGTGACCAAAAACTTTTTATCTCGAGCTCCTCCATGCTTTGAGAGGCACGTTAAGCCGTCAGAAGTGACGGCGCATATGAATAAAATATGCAGGTATTCTGTATTCATTTGTTTTATTCTGGTCTGTTGTACTGGTCTGGAAGGATACAAAATGTTGCTAGTTTTAGACCGATGATGAAGATTGTTATATAAGTACACTTTGGGGATTGGGTTCAGGCCGGCAAGGTGAGGATGATCTATCTTCGCGGCTGGATCCACATTTTTAGGGCCTCGTATAAAAAAAAAGATGTTATACCGAGCTCCTACTCGTGGTCTGCGGCACCTGCCAGTCTTGGATCAGCTCTTCACATTTATAATATTTCGTAGGATTAAGAAGGAAGGGATGCTTAAGATGTTATACCGACCTCCTACTGGTGGCCTGCAGCACTTCCCAGTCTTGGATCCGCTCTTCACATTTATAATATTTCGTAGGATTAAGGAGGATGCTTAAGACGTTATACCGACCTCCTACTGGTGGCCTGCAGCACTTTCCAGTCTTGGATCCGCTCTTCACATTTATAATATTTCGTAGGATTAAGGAGGATGCTTAAGACGTTATACCGACCTCCTACTGGTGGCTTGCAGCACTTGCCAGTCTTGGATCCGCTCGTCACATTTGTAATATTTCGTAGGATTAAGGAGGATGCTTAAGATGTTATACCAACATCGTACTGGTGGCTTGCAGCACTTCCCTTTTTTCTGAACCGCTCGTCACATTTGTAATATTTCGTAGGATTAAGGAGGATGCTTAAGACGTTATACCGACCTCCTACTGGTGGCCTGCAGCACTTCCCAGTCTTGGATCCGCTCGTCACATTTGTAATATTTCGTAGGATTAAGGAGGATGCTTAAGATGTTATACCGACCTCCTACTGGTGGCTTGCAGCACTTCCCTTTTTTCTGAACCGCTCGTCAATTTTGTAATATTTCGTAGGATTAAGGAGGATGCTTAAGATGTTATACCAACATCGTACTGGTGGCCTGCAGCACTTCCCAGTCTTGAATTCGCTAGTCAAATTTATTATATTTCATAAAATTAAGGAGGATGCCTAAGATATTATACCGACCTCCTACTGGTGGCCTGCAGGACTTGCCAGTTTTAGACCCACTCTTGTCGGACTTGTTGGATCGCGCGGTCGCGTCGCACGGGCAGCACGAGTGCACGCTGCTGCGTGTCGTGTCCATGGCTTCTATCTTCTCAACCTTAAAGTTTAAAATTGTACGTCTAGAATTATTGTGGGTAGTTGGTTGGTTGCTAGGATTCCTGAGCAGCTGTAGCGTTACAAGCTTTTACTCTATGCAGGTAAACAAGGTCTACCTAAATAAAACTAGTTTTTACGGGTTAATGCACGAAACTTTATTTATTTATTGACGTTTCGCAGCCTTTTCAGCCTCTCTTGAGTTTGCTTCGCCGGTTCTTCTCAGGAAGGTCTCCCAATTTTGGAACCGGTGGTAGTTTACGGTAGTTAGGGTCAAATAAATAAACTCAAAATTACAAACAAGAATTTTAAATAAAATACTTTATTAAGTAAATTAAATAATAAATTCATACATAGACAATAAAATTGTAAAAATCTTCCAATGAAATAACCGAACGCTCAATATAAGTCTTTCGAAGGTAGCTCGACAATTTTAAATAAAAAATCATTATTCTGACGATGCAGACCTGAAAAGGCTGCGAAACGTCAATAAATAAATAAAGTTTCGTGCATTAACCCGTAAAAACTAGTTTTATTTAATGAGTGATGTGCGTGAAAACCTAAGAAACAAAAAAAAGGTGTACCTAATTGACGACCTCCGTGGCCGAGTGGTTTGTATGTCGGGTTTTAAGGTGTCGCCTACTCGAGAGGTCCCGGGTTCCAATCCCGGTGGGGGGCAGATGTTTGTGTGATGAATACGAGCATTTGTACTCGAGTCATGTATGTTGAAAATGAATTTCTATTTACATCTACTTACTTATATATCTTCTTATCTTCCCTAGCATCCCATAACACAAGCCTATAGTGCTTACTTTGGGGCTAGGCTAATTGGTGCGAGTTTTGTAAAACATATATTGTGAAGGAGTTTTTTTTCTTTAAGTTTTTTTTTAAGGAAGAAATTCCCAATTCCCAAATATTTTTCTAACGTTGCTTCTTGAGTGCGCCGCCTTCTTAAAAGCACCTCTTTGGGGAACAAACCTCTGCTACTCTGCCAACTAGTTTTGGTGGAGTTCTAATTTTCTCGGTGAATGAGTTAGGATTACTTAGAATCCACGGGGTAGAAAATCGGGTCATTGCAGTCAACTGCGCAAGTGCTATCGCAACTTACAACAACGGGTTTCGAACCCGCACCCTTCGTTAATCGGGAGAATGCACTGACCATTATGTTGATGGCCGTGTCGAATTTTCTCTAACCTTTCTTAGGCTGCAAGGCAGCGCATCTCTTCGCATTGTAGGTAACACACGATGTCAAATTAATACCTTTACAAGCATCAAACATTTGAAAGAAGAAATAGCAATTATAGTTATATAGCTAGTAAGTTATCTAGCAGTTATATGCTTAAAAAATATAACTAGATAGTTTCCACGAACTAGGTATTTTAATAAAAAGGATAGTTTCAAATGTTTAATACTTGTAAAAGCATTCATTTGACATTGTGGGTTACAATGCGAAGAGATGGCGCTGCCTTGCAGCTTAAGGCTAGAAAAATTTCGACGCGGCCATCAGGGCCGTGGTAGCATAATTGGTCAGCTCATTCGCCCGGATTGAGAAGGGTGCGGGTTCGAGTCTCGTCCGCTGCCTAGTCCACGTGAATTTTTTTCTAGTAAAACTTTTCTTTAGATTTAACCATCTAGCAGTTAAAGACTTAAAAAAAAACATAAAAAGGATAGTAATAGTGAAGATAGCTTAATTTTAGTCTATTATTTTATTAACCCGTAAGAGCAGGCATGGATTCATAGTTTTATGGTACTTATTATAATCTCTTTGGCCCTTAGATACCTTAGATGGAGCGGCGGGTAATTTTAACGGTCGATCGCCAGACGCTCTATGCTCTGGTTTCTCAGCTAGCGGCAGTCTTAGCTCCTCTTGTAACGACTTCGGAGACTCCGGTACGCTCTTACGACCAGACGATTGTTGCTTTGTCAGGTATTGCTGTAAATAGTAAAATTTTTCTTTAAGGTTTTCAGACAATTACTTTGTTGAAACTGAATAAAGAGTATACTATTGTGAAGTTCGATGGTATAGGTAGTTAGCACATTCGGCCTGCGATCGTGAAAGTTAAGCAACTTTCGTAAAGGTCGGTCACATGGATGGGTGACTAAAACTCTTATTAGCTCCAGCTAGTACTGTTCCGTACTACGGAAGGCACGTTAAGATCTCAGTGCCTCACATAGAGTACATACCTCAAGCACGCGCCACACGATGACGGGCCCGTGCCCCAGCCGCATGTGGTGTGGGTGCCCCCCTGCTGCCATCAGTGCCTCATATACACGTACATACCTCGGGCACGCGCCACACGATGACGGGCCCGTGCCCCAGCTCCATGTGGTGTGGGTGCCCCCCTGCTGCCATCAGTGCCTCATATAGACCTACATACCTCGGGCACGCGCCACACGATGACGGGCCCGTGCCCCAGCCCCATGCGGTGTGGGTGCCCCCCTGCTGCCATCAGTGACTCATATAGACGTTCATACCTCGGGCACGCGCCACACGATGACGGACCCGTGCCCCAGCCCCATGTGGTGTGGGTGCCCCCCTGCTGCCATCAGTGCCTCATATCGTACATACCTCGGGCACGCGCCACACGATGACGGGCCCGTGCCCCAGCCCCATGTGGTGTGGGTGCCCCCCTGCTGCCATCAGTGCCTCATATAGACGTACATACCTCGGGCACGCGCCACACGATGACGGGCCCGTGCCCCAGTCCCATGTGGTGTGGGTGCCCCCCTGCTGCCATCAGTGCCTCATATCGTACATACCTCGGGCACGCGCCACACGATGACGGGCCTGTGCCCCAGCCCCATGTGGTGTGGGTGCCCCCCTGCTGCCATCAGTGCCTCATATAGACGTACATACCTCGGGCACGCGCCACACGATGACGGGCCCGTGCCCCAGCCCCATGTGGTGTCGGTGTCCCCCTGCTGCACATCAATGCCTCATATAGACGTACATACCTCGGGCACGCGCCACACGATGACGGGCCCGTGCCCCAGCCCCATGTGGTGTCGGTGTCCCCCTGCTGCACATCAATGCCTCATATAGACGTACATACCTCGGGCACGCGCCACACGATGACGGGCCCGTGCCCCAGCCCCATGTGGTGTCGGTGTCCCCCTGCTGCACATCAATGCCTCATATAGACGTACATACCTCGGGCACGCGCCACACGATGACGGGCCCGTGCCCCAGCCCCATGTGGTGTCGGTGTCCCCCTGCTGCACATCAATGCCTCATATAGACGTACATACCTCGGGCACGCGCCACACGATGACGGGCCCGTGCCCCAGCCCCATGTGGTGTCGGTGTCCCCCTGCTGCACATCAATGCCTCATATAGACGTACATACCTCGGGCACGCGCCACACGATAATGCTGCCGGCCGCGCAGCAGCTCACTATGAAGCTGGCGTCAGGGCTGAACCGGCAGCACGTGACGGCGCCCGCGTGCCCCAGCCCCATGTGCGTGTATATACCTTCTTGGTACTTCCATAGCTGAAACAAAAATCAAATCAAATTTATAGGGAACCGGCAGAGTCATCTATTAGAGGACGGTGGTACTAACCGTAACACAGTCCTCTCGCCCACAGACAACGCCCGTAGACTGCCCCTACGGCTAAATAGAGGCGTAAGGCCGGCACGCTATTGCGACAATAATGATTAAAATAGGATAGTTTGGTATCCGTTTCCGGGACGCTATACTTTTGGTTTTATCAAGCACTCCTGCGCGTGCAATTTATAGATAAGCAGATATTGTTCTTAAGTTAAGAAACCTTTTATTTAATTTATGTGTTTGCATTCATTAAATTCGTCGTTTGCCGTCTTATTTACTAAAAATTTAATAAAAGTTTCGTTCAAGTAGACGTGAAGCTACAGGCGGCACGCCGCGGCTTCTAGTATTGCATCCGTTAAAGCCGTGTTGACATGTGCAAAATCAACTTTGACAAAATGTTGAGGAAGGTCCAATTATGGTCTAAGTCCACTTTGATTGAATGCCGACGTCAAAGTGAGCTTTGATATCTATCAAAATGTTTACACGATCAATGTAACCTCAAAGAAGCCGTCAAAGCTACTTTGTCAAAACAGACTTTGAGCATGTCACCGTGGCTCTAAGGAGAGGTAGCACGCTTCTCTTCCCACCGTAACTGATGCGTAAAGACAAGACAAATAAAGGAACCTAACTTGCTTATTCGTTTCTGAAGGAACGGGGCATACGGTAAACCGGTTTGCGCTACACACACAAGGCGTCGTCCATTTTGAAATGCGGTTATAAAATTTTCGTTTCCTCATTGTCCATTTTGCAACACAACAAACACTAGCTCACTGTTATTGTCGACGCGTCGCCTCTCCTGAACGAGCTCTTAGTGTTAGTTAGCGCCACAGTGGGATAGGATCAATTAGATGGGAGTTTTTGGTGTGAATTCATCGATCGACTATTTTATAAGATGGTAAACAATGAATTGACGACACATGTAATAAAGCGACCGAGCAGATGTTTCAGCTCAGCGCTACCATCTGGCGCCCACCATTTCATAAACTTCATTGAACACAGCACAAGTATTAATGTTCATACAAATCACATCATATGAAGTGTTAGGCCAGGTATTCCATTTATAAAGCGACACCTGGCATTGAGTTGATATTATTACGGGTTCGAGTTGAGGCTGGTAAGAATTGATAGTGCTTATATCTCTCTGCTTCATAACAGCTATCTTCACATCTGAACTCAAGTCACACTTGACATCAGTTGAGGTGTAGAAATATGCTGTAAGAATAAAAAAAATATAAATTTAAAAAATGTACCTTGACCATTTGATCGTTTCCGCCTGTCACGAACAACTCTCCATTTTGCGTGATGTGCAATCCGTTGACGGCGCCCACTTTACTTGCTTCCAACTGTTTTTGGGAATAAACACAGTTCAATCAGGATTATAGTATTATGAGGAGATAATTTTAAACCATACTAGTCACAGTTTGATAGTAGCAGACCGCTTCTGTCTGCTTTAAGAGTTATATTCCCTGTTGGTCATGTTAATTCACATGCCTATTTATCTTTGTTTCTGGATTATGTAGTTCTGTCTATTAGTATGACTTTGGAACAAAAATTGGTGTGAGCGGTCTAATCTAATAAGTACTTTAGTAAATGATTTAACTTAAGTATAACTAAGCACAACTTTATGTATAACGTATGTTTTTTTATAATTTTTATTATTTTTAAAGCATGTAACTGCTTGATGTTTAAATCTAAAGAAAATATAACTAGAAAAAATTCCACGCAGACCAGGCAGCAGTTGTGGGTTTACCTATAATGCGAAGAGATGGCGCTGCCTTGCAGCTTAAGAATAGCTAGAAAGAATTTCGACGCGGTCCGTGAGGGCCGCGGTAGCATAATTGGTCAGTGCATTCGCCCGGATTGCGAAGGGTGCGGGTTCGAGTCCCGTCTGCTGCCTGGTCTGCGTGGAATTTTTTCTAGTTATATTTTCTTTAGATTTAAACATCAAGCAGTTACATGCTTTAAAAATAATAAAAATTATAACTATAATTGCTATTTCTTCTTTCAAATGTTTAATACTTGTAAAAGTATTCATTTGACATTGTGGGTTTACCTATAATGCGAAGAGATGGCGCTGCCTTGCAGCTTAAGAATAGCTAGAAAGAATTTCGACGCGGTCCGTGAGGGCCGCGGTAGCATAATTGGTCAGTGCATTCGCCCGGATTGCGAAGGGTGCGGGTTCGAGTCCCGTCTGCTGTATGTTTTTTTTTTAATTATGTTGGGTGTAAAAATGTGTCGGCATGCCTGATAAAAAAAAATGGATGCGTGTAACTTATGTACGCGCGTGAGAAGTTATACTTCTTTAGCATCATTAAAAATATTTTTTAATTGCATGCAAATAATTAATAATTACAATAAAATAATAAAAGGACTGGAAAAGGATAGTTAACACAGTCAATTAAGTTCAGTTTTAATTTGAAAAATTAAATAAATATACAAAACATTCAATTATAATCACTACTGAATTTAAGTTATTAGTCCATATGTAATTAGCACTTGTAAGTAACTAAAACACGTTGTGTCTATATAGAAACTAGAAACATGTGGATAAATATTATAAATATGAAAACAGTGATCAGAGGCGACGAGCGTGCCAACATTGTTTTTGACAACGCGATCATCTTATGGAGCTCCGTGGATCGTTCAAAGTACCTTTCGAACAGATGTCTAATAATGGTGGATTATTAACCACTAAGTGGTTAATAATCCACCATTATTAGACACTAACATTCATAACGCGCCCGCGGCCAACTTCATGGTGTTACTATTGTGTTACAGTGATGCGCGCGCATCTCGAAATTTCACTCACATGGTTTTTTCATAACGCGCCCGCGGCCAACTTCATGCTGTTACTTTTGGGTTACAGTGATGCGCGCGCATCTAAAAATTTCACTCTCATAATTTTTTCATAACGCGCCTAAAGAAGTATAACTTCAATAAAAAAAAATGATAGCAATGTCATTGCACCTCTCTGGCAAGGTTGCCACTGCCGGTCTCCCAGTAGGCGACGCGGCGGTCCGTGCCGCCAGTCAGCAGCTGACAGCCCTGCGGCTCGAAGCATACGCACATGAACAGAGTGTTGGCATACATCACTTGCCGTCTTGAAAGTGAACTACAATGAAAAGAAACGATATCGCAGTTGTTAATATGTGGCGGCGACATCTACATGGCCCACATATATCCAACGGATGGAAGAAATAATCACTCGCCTCCTCAAGAGATGGCGCTACCGACGCTGCGATCAATACGTATGGAAGCCTACATCGCGCAAGTGAAATTCGGATGCTAACACTCCATATATACAATGCCCGACCAACATACGTAGGTCGGATAAAGATCTTCCCCTTTGGCCTTCCTACAAATAAACAAAGAATAGCTTCAAATAAAAACCTGCTAAGTGGAGGAGGGCAATTGAAAAAAGGAAAACTTGAAAAAAAAAAACTGTTATAGTAAAACTAAAACTATTTCTCACGAGGAAGAAGACTATCAGTTACTAAATTAATGACAACACAGCCCAAACGTTGATCACAGCCCAACTCCAGCAGATGAAATGGCAGAAAAGTTGGCACATTCTAGCTTATTTTCGTGAACAAGTATAGTCCGATTCTTCGTTTATGAATATCATATTGTTGTTTGTTTATTCAATAGAACATTATTGGAAAAATATACTAGGAATAGACGGGTATTACCTACGGTTATAGCAGACAGGCCGAGCCAAATTGGCGTCCAACGTGGGGGCAATTAGGTTATGAAAAGAGGAACAGTGTATTAACTATTATCATAGTACGATATTATTGATCAAAAAAATACTTTTTGACGAAAGAAGCAATCGGTACACTTAAAGACGTTTAGCAAGGAGGTGGAAAAATACCTTAGATATAGTTAAGTCTGCGGAAGAATAGTCTGTATGCGAGTTAATACTATCGCTATCTAATAGATTACTATGCCGGTCTGCCATCAGCTTCTTGTATTGAAATCCCAAAATAATTATCACTGGTGTCGATTCTGGCATGATTCTTTAAACTTAAAACTAAATTTCACATCAGTCTCTCCTTGTCATTCTGTATCGAGAATGTTCAGGTTTAGAAAACCATGTCAGAATCAACACCATTGTTAAATTCATTCAATTAATTCATCGATTGCGCTGACATACTACACCTTCTTTTCGGTTTAGCTTACCTATACCGCGAAGGTTGTCTGGAAGAGATCGCTTTTAGCGATAAGACCTCCTTTGCCCACATTATTGTTAAATGTTTTCTTTGTACCTATGTCCTTTATTATTTATTTAAAGCTATGGCGGGAATTAAGTAAATAATAAAATAAACCTAACATCAAGTCCCATATGATGCAGGATCCGTCGGTCCCAGCACTAACTGCCTCCGTATTGTTCGGAGACACCTGTATGGCCGACACTGGGCTCTTGTGCTCCTTTAACACCTTCTTCAGACTCTGGCACTCCGGTTTGATGTCCCATACTCGCACCTAACGAAAAGACGTTAAGTCGATTTTCCTTTAACACATTCAGCGACTGATGAGCATTAGTCAAATTTTCATAATCAAGTCAGCAATAGATAAAGAGGCACTTATTTTATGTTTCGTTTTCCTAGACGCTTAAATGTTCAGACACCCACCAGGCCGACCATCCCGACGCTCAAACACCCACCAGACCGACTATCGCGACGCTCAAACACCCACCAGACCGACTATTGCGACGCTCAAACACCCACCAGACCGACTATCCCGACGCCCAAACACCCACCAGACCGACTATCGCGACGCTCAAACACCCACCAGACCGACTATCCCGACGCTCAAACACCCACCAGACCGACTATCGCGACGCTCAAACACCCACCAGACCGACTATCCCGACGCTCAAACACCCACCAGACCGACTATCGCGACGCTCAAACACCCGCCAGACCGACTATCCCTACGCTCAAACACCCACCAGACCGACTATCGCGACGCTCAAACACCCACCAGACCGACTATCCCTACGCTCAAACACCCACCAGACCGACTATCGCGACGCTCAAACACCCACCAGACCGACTATCCCGACGCTCAGACACCCACCAGACCTAATAAGAACATTAATAGATTGACAATGAACAAGTTATTGAGGAGCTCGATGGCGCAAGTGGTTAGCGCGTTCGGCTGCGATCGTTCGTTGGATGGGTGACCAAAAATTTACTATTTCGATTCCACCGTGCTTCGGAAGGCACGTTAAGCCGTTGGTCCCGGCTGCATTTGCAGTCGTTAGCACCCGCCAATCCGCACTGGGCTCGCGTGGCGGGTCATGGCCCAATCTCCCTATTCCATCCATAGGGAAGGCCTGTGTCCCAGCAGTGGGAACATTAATAGGCTGATGATGATGAAATTATGATGGTAATAAACCTGTCCCTCGCAGCCCCCGGAGATGAGCGTCCGTCCGTCGTTGGTCATGTCCAACGCGGACGTGCCCTTGTTGTGAGTGTTGTATATGCAGTAGATGAGGCGGCCCGTGAGCGGAGTGAATGCTCGAATGTTCCCGTCATTCCATGCTGTAGGAACGTAAAACAAGTTTTAAGGGAACGTCATTGCAGAATGCCGAGTAAAGAGCGTTACAAATGAGTTACCAGATAACTAAAAGCGAAGATGTAAAAAGAAAATAAACCAATATTAAACCCAGTTCACGGACACGAGTTGGTGCAGCGTTTTATTTATTAATCACTAGCGATCCGCCCCGGCTTTGCACGGGTGCAATGTTGATACTAAATATACTACAGAATGTCTATATACTTATACAACGTTCACAGCTTTGTTGTCATTAGACAATACAAACATGTTTCCTTCCAAGGGCGGATCCAGGGCGGCTGGGTACAGATGGACCAAACCCAGGGGGATTTTATTTAAGTACTTTCAATATTTATATACCACGACTATATGACCCCCCCCTGGCGCCAAAGCTGGATCCGCCCTTGTTTCCTTCAGAGATTACTCTTGAAAGAGCGACATATAATTGGCAATGTGAAAAAAACTCAACGCTCAAATCTAAGCCTGCAACGTTGAAAGTTTGACCTTGTGGGTTATCCCTAAGAGATAGACTGGTATATGTTTATCGCTTAGGGATAACCCACAAGGTCGCGGACTTTGTTGTAGACCTTTTTAAGGTGTACAATACTGTATTATTTTGATCTATCTCGTAGGGTTTAGCCAGCGTTTGCAATGTAAGCGCAAAAAAGGTGTTTGTTTACGACCTTACATTATATATTAAAAACCTCTAAAATTATCAGTGTTTCTCTACTATATTATGCATCTATTATACATACGAATTTTCCTCTTGAATCACTATCTAAGCAAACATAGGGACAGACAGACAGCGGGTAGCGACTTTGCTTTATACTATGTAGTGATGATACAACGCTTACACAATACAAAAAAGCACATCTCCATCACATGAGCAAAGGGGCCTGTCATTGGTCCCTTCCCTTACTACCAATCCCGCAGAGATCATCATCTACGTTCTCGCATAAAAATCCAAAAGAATACTCACCAGACACTATCGACTTGCCGTCACCGCTGAATAGAACTGCGGAGCATGTGAAGTTCGGCACCACTATACGCAGCAACTCCTGGCAAGTCTCCAAACACCATACTCTCACATCACCCGCGCCAGCTGTAGCGAAGACACCAGACATTCTCCTAGACAACCCAGAAGTATCATCCATATTTATGAGCACATTAGGTCTTCTGTGATTATAGATATGTATCAGTTGAGAAAATATGGCAATATCTATACGCAATAACTCTTTTGACATGTTTCCAAACAACACATTCGTACGTCGTCAGCGCCCGATGTAGCGAAGACACCGGACATTCCCCTAGACAACCCAGAAGTATCATCCATATTTATGAGCACGTTAGGTCTCTTCTGTGATTATAGGTATGTATCAGTTGAGAAAATATGGCAATATCTATACGCAATAACTCTTTTGACATGTTTCCAAACAACACATTCGTACGTCGTCAGCGCCCGATGTAGCGAAGACACCGGACATTCCCCTAGACAACCCAGAAGTATCATCCATATTTATGAGCACATTAGGTCTCTTCTGTGATTATAGACATGTATCAGTTGAGAAAATATGGCAATATCTATACGCAATAACTCTTTTGACATGTTTCCAAACAACACATTCGTACGTCGTCAGCGCCCGATGTAGCGAAGACACCGGACATTCCCCTAGACAACCCAGAAGTATCATCCATATTTATGAGCACATTAGGTCTCTTCTGTGATTATAGATATGTATCAGTTGAGAAAATATGGCAATATCTATACGCAATAACTCTTTTGACATGTTTCCAAACAACACATTCGTACGTCGTCAGCGCCCGATGTAGCGAAGACACCGGACATTCCCCTAGACAACCCAGAAGTATCATCCATATTTATGAGCACGTTAGGTCTCTTCTGTGATTATAGGTATGTATCAGTTGAGAAAATATGGCAATATCTATACGCAATAACTCTTTTGACATGTTTCCAAACAACACATTCGTACGTCGTCAGCGCCCGATGTAGCGAAGACACCGGACATTCCCCTAGACAACCCAGAAGTATCATCCATATTTATGAGCACATTAGGTCTCTTCTGTGATTATAGATATGTATCAGTTGAGAAAATATGGCAATATCTATACGCAATAACTCTTTTGACATGTTTCCAAACAACACATTCGTACGTCGTCAGCGCCCGATGTAGCGAAGACACCGGACATTCCCCTAGACAACCCAGAAGTATCATCCATATTTATGAGCACATTAGGTCTCTTCTGTGATTATAGGTATGTATCAGTTGAGAAAATATGGCAATATCTATACGCAATAACTCTTTTGACATGTTTCCAAACAACACATTCGTACGTCGTCAGCGCCCGATGTAGCGAAGACACCGGACATTCCCCTAGACAACCCAGAAGTATCATCCATATTTATGAGCACACTAGCGGCCGCCCGCGACTTCGTACGCGTAGAGTTAGTTAGAAATAAAGGTTCATAAATCGTTCCCCGTAGGTGATAGCGTGATAATATGTAGCCTATACGTTGACCCGACTTTTAAATAATGTTCTTCAGTCGATGACGTTCAGCACATGCTTGTAGAGTGTACTAAGTATAACAATAAGACAATGTCATTATTGCAAAAACATAATATAAATGTGTTCGGTGTAGGTATATTCGCAACAATATTGGCAGATTCGCAGTCGGAAATATTCAAAAGCCTTATATATATATATATATATATGTATTTATGGTTCACTATTTTGACAATAATGGCTTACTCATAAAAGATAGATATATATGGTGTCGCAGAATTTTTTGTAGGACTATTTAAGATAAATATTTTCACCATACATTATATACATGTAGCACTAACTGTTTTTGCAGCACACGCCTGAATAGCTCGCAGATTGCAGAATTTTTTCAGACTTAAATGACATTTATCGTTATATTTTGGACAATTCACACAATATCTTTATAAATTATAGCCTATGTGTTATTCTGATCTATAAGCTACATTACTGTAAAGTTTCATTAAAATCCGTTTAGTAGTTTTTGCGTGAAAGAGGAACAAACATCCATCCATACATCCATCCAAACAAACTTTCGCCTTTATAATATTAGTAAGGATTAGGTCTCTTCTGTGATTATAGATATGTATCAGTTGAGAAAATATGGCAATATCTATACGCAATAACTCTTTTGACATGTTTCCAAACAACACATTCGTACGTCGTCAGCGCCCGATGTAGCGAAGACACCGGACATTCCCCTAGACAACCCAGAAGTATCATCCATATTTATGAGCACATTAGGTCTCTTCTGTGATTATAGGTATGTATCAGTTGAGAAAATATGGCAATATCTATACGCAATAACTCTTTTGACATGTTTCCAAACAACACATTCGTACGTCGTCAGCGCCCGATGTAGCAAAGACACCGGACATTCCCCTAGGCAACCCAGAAGTATCATCCATATTTATGAGCACGTTAGGTCTCTTCTGTGATTATAGGTATGTGTAAGTTGAGAAAATATGGCACTATCTATACGCAATAACTCTTTTGACATGTTTCCAAACACCACACTCGTATGTCGTCAGCGCCTGCTGTAGCGAAGACACCGGACATTCCCCTAGACAACCCAGAAGTATCATCCATATTTATGAGTACCTTAGGTATGTTCTGCGATTATAGGTATGTGTAAGTAGAGAAAATATGGCACTATGTATACGCAATAACTCTTGACAAGTCTCCAAACACCACATTCGTACGTCGTCAGCGCCCGCAGTACATCAGCTCCATGTTATAATGTCGGTAGATCTTCATACAAAACCCTCGCCCCCTTATTAATAAACGCATCGATTAATTACTCCATTTGAGCGACATGAACAATACATTGCGTATTGTTCATGTAATAAAGGGGTAACGGAACGTGACAACGTCGATCGTCGTATGTCAGCTGTAGCGATCTGTACCCTTAGTACGAGTTTTACAATTACGAAAACTATGATAGTTCTCGTGAGCTTGCACTCGTACTAAGGGTACTGATTTTATTATTTTCGTTTCAATACAAATAAACAGTGTTTAAATTCTATCATTAAATCATTTGTGTCTCCTTAAATTTTAAGTATATTTGTTTATTTTTCACCAAAATGGACATAGAAACATAATTTACAATTACGAAAACTATGATAGTTTTCGTGAGCTCAAACTCGTACTAAGGGTACTGATGCAACCGTTTAACAATAACTTACCTGGGGAACGCGACATCGTTGATAGCGCATCGATGGCAAGTCACCACCATGACCGGAACAAATGTAGTCACGTTGATGGCGTAGATTTCGCTGGTGCGAGTGCCCGCAAGTAAAAGGCGCTTATCCCCGCGCAAGGACGGCGACTCCATCAACTCCAACGATGTTATGCAGCCGTCTAACTTGGTGCTTTTGAGCTGGGTTACAATAACAATTGTTGCTAATTATAAAAGAAAATATGATGTCGAGCCCAAAAGGCAAATGTAAATAAATGACACTCCCAATAGATTAATTGTATATATGTACATATTTTTTTTAAAGAAGAGAGAACTGCAATGTCTTCTTTGACCTATTGGAGGCCCTGGGCATATTAGGATAATGGGGGCCCTATGACCCCCGTTTGGTGATTTAACAGGGACTAGGGACTTTATATTTGATCTGGGAACTTGCCCAAAGTGCCCACTTGGGAAAGAGGGGTCTGGAGAACTGTAAGAACTAAAAAACCGATGTGTATATAGTGTAAAGATATTAGATAATTTATTAGTATTTTGTATGCTCTTTCAAGGGCGAAACATATGGAACTTTTTATATTATTTACCAGCTATAACAAACTATGTTTCATGCAAATAAACTTTCATTTCGTTTCATATAAATAATTAACAATGTAAAAACTGAAAAGAGAATAATGTATTAGAAGGTAAGAATTTAAATCTAAAAAAGAATAAAACTAGTTATTTCAGCCTGACGATCATTCCGAAGACGGCAGCCTGTAAAGGCTGCGAAACGTCAATAAATATATAAAGTTTCGTGCCTTAACCCGTAAATAACTAGTTTTATTTAATGAATGATGTGCGTGAAAACCTAAGAATCAAATATCTAAAAAAGAATATGACGAGTGCGAAAGAAAAAGCACAAAATGCAAAAGAGCAGGTCCTTTCAAGGACCACCAGTTAATAACCACTGGTCTAGATAATGCAAAAGTTAATGAGATGTTTTACTTACTGCTTTAAAGAAAGGTTTACTCGGGTTTACGATCTTGCCTTTGGGGAAATCGCCCTTCCAGTTGATTTCGTCCAGCAGATCAACCGTTCCATCGCCGGAACCCACGATCAGGCATCCGTCTTCCATAATCAGGATTGACTCGATTCCTGACGAAGGGCCAGAGGATCCATGAATTTTATGAATTTTTAATTTTTGCCTTCCCTTATCCTCGTCTCAGGTTTGAGACGAATTCCTCTAATGTGACCTCGAGGAGGAGCTCGATGGCGCAAGTGGTTAGCGCATTTGGCTGAGATAATTGAAGTTATGCAACTTTCGCAGTGGTCGGTCATTGGATGGGTGGCCAAAAATTTACTATCTCGAGCTCCTCCGTGCTTTGGAAGGCACGTTAAGCTGTTGGTCTCAGCTGCATCTGCATTCTAAGCACCCACCAATCCACACTGGGCCCGCATCGTGGGTCATGGCCCATTCTCCCTATTCCATTCATAGGAAAGGCCTGTGCCCCAGCAGTGGAGACATTAATAGGCTGATGATGATAATGAATGTGACCTCACACTTTTACATAATACCTCATAGTGGATATTCTCTTTCAAATAAGGCTTTTCTGTGGTTATATCCTAAATCACAGAAGACTAAACTACATTGGAATAGCACAGCACTATTATGTCTATTAATGTTTCTGTAAATTATTGAAAAATCTCCACACTAGACGTCATTAGTGATGATAAAAAAATTACTATTTTTGGCATTTTTGAGAGCTTCTAGTTTCTTTGAAACACAAGTTATCGACAAAAGGAAGACATAGAGGCATAGAATGAGTAAAATTATATTTTATGTATGTAAATCACTTCTTAAGTGATAAATATCAAGGTGGAATCAGTCGAGCACGTTTGTATGGAAAAAGCATAGCCTGCCTCCCATCTTAAGAGATCTACCTATATCAAAAAATACTTAGTTTAGAATTTTGTATAACGCTGGCCACTTTTCTCATGTGCAGACTTTTTGTGCACCAGCAGCGGCGGTTTTCAAACTTAATAACTTTTATCATCATCATCAGTTAATGTCCCCACTGCTGAGGCACAAGACAGGACAGGATTCCCTATGGACGGAATAGGGAGATTGGGCCATGACCCACCACGCGGGCCTAGTGTGGGTTGGCGGGTGCTAACGACTGCAGATACAGCCGGGATCACCTGCCTAACGTGCCTTCCGAAGCACGGACGAACTCGAGATAAAAGATTTTTGGTCACCCATTCAATAACCGATCACTGCGAAAGTTGTTTAACTTCAACGATCGCAGTCGAACACGCTAACCACCTGCGCCATCGAACTCTTAATAACTTTACCTTGACTGTAACAAACAGCGTCTGGCCTCCTGCCCTTCTTCCACGGTCCACATTTAGCGAGGCAACCGATAAGCGTTGGTTTGCAGTTAGCTACTGACGCCGTCGGATCCGGGGGATAGTTGATGGAGAACTTTATCATATCGCCAGTGCTGTAAAGTGTACGGAGGCAAATGTCAAATGGTCCTTCGGGCCGGATCCTACTGAAATGAGGGTGTATAGGAAAATTTACATGACAAGTTGGCGACACTGTGACAAAAGGTCTTTTGTTTGAAGTTTTTGGCGCGAATTTATCGAACGCGTATTTAAATTGATCCATAGATTAGGACGACATACGTGTTTGACGGATGAGTAAACCTTTCGTGACAGAGCTGCCACCTGGCGCCCATTATTCCAGAAAACCTTAATTGAACATCTGTTTGTAAAGAATCATAACTCACACAAAAGTAGTTTGCTGACAATTAGGCATTGACAAGGAATCGGAACACCAAATGCGCGCTTTAAGTAGGTTTCAGATTTATAATTTGACTTTATCTGAACTTGACTTTTAAAAAGCCACACAAACACTCAAGCCGCAAGAGTATCTCTATAAGTTATATCTGACGCAGATGAACATGCAAAGTTCCACTTTCGATTAAGATGTCTGGTGAGATGATGAGTTAGTTAGGCCATTTCTAAACAAATACTGTTCAAATAAAAGCAGCACCGATTTTCCGTCACCCGTTGTAAGATAAGAACGAGTACCTACAATCTACATCCTGAGTGCTTGTTTGCTTTCCATTTGCATTAACATAAAAAATACATTAACAAGATAGAAAAGTTAACTTTAAGTGGCTACTACTGACAGGAAATCTTATGTTATCGCTAGGTATATATAGTAAGGTCCAAGGGCGTCGCCAGCTTATGACTAAGGGGTTAGGACAATGGGGCAAAATAATAGGTAAGGAAGTCAGTTGCTCGTAGTTTGGTCCCTTTGCGGCTAGCAACATTTGATCTCTAGGGAGGGGGGGGGGGGAGGCAACTGCCTCCCCCTTGGTAAGATCACTGCTGGCAAGGTGGGCACGCACAAACCCCAGATATTAACTGGCCCGAGGGAGAGTCTGGACATAAGTCAGTCGCCTAAAATAAAGTTTTACTTCTTAACTATGAAAAAAACAACTAAGTATTTGTTCTCTTCTCTCATATTTTTATGTTACAACAAATAGGATAACTTTTTAACTCAGTTTTAATTATACAAAAATCAACAAACTCTCATATGTGATAGTATGTTGCAAGAATGTCTATCACTTATTTGAACAAGATAAACTTGAATGGCATTTGGAGTTACACGAGTCCAAGGACGCGCGGCGGGCGGAGGACTGCGTGCGGGCCGGTCGCGACGCCAACTCCTTCCCCGCGTCTATACCGCACTGCTAACTTGACGAACTCTTTAGTTCCTATTTACTGTAGTTTTTACTACAGAGGGACTCTCCACATTAAAAGACGAAATTTCATTTCAGTTCATAATATAATTCAACACAATTACGAGTATAAATCTTGTTTCGGACTAGCATGATTTATGGCTTGTCTAGGATAAGATATCTTATCTACCAGGGTGATGATACAAAATCGAACCAATCAGGAAACGCAAGATACGAATCTCAAAATAATACCAAAATCCTTAAGTGAACTAAAAACCTAGTTCTAGCCGATAATAAATAGGATGCACCTAAGTTTAACCACCAGTGTGCGGCTGTACCTAGTTCTAGCCGCTATAATGAAGGCTAAACCTAGTTGTATCCGAAGATAAGTAGGATACACCTAAGTTTACCGCATGTGGCGGGCTGCACCTAGTTGTAGCCGGCTAAAACTAGGTGTAGCCGCACTTCGGCTATTAGCCGTAACATATATACAGTATATGTATTCTATCCGTTACCCTAGCATTCCACAACACAAGCCTTACAGTGCTTACTTTGGGGCTAGGCTAACTGGTGTGTGTTGGAAATTTATTTATTATTTATATCTCTGGGTTTAAAAAAGGTATAGGTACTAACGTAGTTCCAGCGTAACCGTAGGCGTCATCGCTGCTGACCGCTATGCATCGCACGCTGCGGCGTAGTTTTCCCAGGCCTACGTCCACCACGTCCAAATTCTTGGACTCCGCGCGGATGTTCCACACACGTAGATTGGCTGTTCGTAATAAACCATTGAGTTTGGGAAATCCATAGGAGAACTAAGAGATTTGTGTAGTCTGAACAGAGGCTCAAGCAGGAGTATTGACAGCTCCGTAAGTAACGTATCGCATTGCCAGAGTTTCTTTGAAAACTTTGAAAACAGCGGGTATCGGACGTAAGAACAAACTAGCTTTTTCCATACAAAATTAGACTATGACGATACGGTACGGGGGCGCCGTCAAAAATTCGTGCTTGAGCCCAGTGCCGTCTTTGACCTATTGGAGGCCCTGGGACTAATAGGATAATGAACTATGACTTCCGATTGGAGATTTAACAGGAACTAGGGACTTTGTATTTGATCTGAGGGGGCCCCCTATCGATTGCGGGGCCCTGGGCACTTGCCCAAAGTGCCCACTGGGAAAGAGGGGTCTGCTTGGACCTCTGAACTAAGAAGAACACCACAGAGCAGAGCTGCAAAATACTTAGCAGTCCATGAGTAATTAGCGCAACAACGCACGCAACACCGACTTATCTCGTGAACAACCACTCGGAAGAACGTCAGCAGCTACATTTTATTGCCGAGGTCCCGCTTCGTGTGCATATGTAGATACCTACCAAGGGCGTCGCTAGCGGACGGCCTGAGGGGGCGGGACAGTTCATTTACTCAAATGAAGGGTGTTAAGTATGAATTGTGGGTACATGAAGCTTCACACTTGTAGTGCTCTTAACTCATTTGGGAATGAAATCACTTAGTGAGTTGAAGCAGAAAATGTTTTTTTTTTTTATTATTATTCTGTTTTAGTCACATTATTACAGTGGTCTGGGTTATTTGGTTTGTGTTTTCTTTGTTTTGTTTCATTTATTTGTCAGACCCAGTCCCGGGGTGACGCTATTCCATACGTCCCCGGGGGCTGGGGCTGAGTGATGGCTGCAGCGCCGCTCCTCCTTCGTCTCCTCTTCGAGCGGCTGCTGCACAAATGGATGGAGCACTGTTTCCCCTAGCCCTGGTTCTGCGAGTAACACCCTGGTGGGAGGGGTGCTCATAAAGGTGGAGGGATTTGGTGCCGATGAAGCGAGGTGCAGAGAATGGGCCTGGTCAGCGGTGACAGGTAGGTAGGCTCGCCCGTTGGAGTCGCTCAATTCGCTAAGCAGAAAATGTTTGATTAGGCACGAGTCAAATCAGTGGACTGAGGACGTTGGTTGCTTTATATTTGGCTACATTCTTTATGTCTAGGGAGGGGGGCATATCCCACCTTGGAGTCACCCTCGCTACTTACTATGGAAGTGCGCTTTTGTTTTGTTACTCACAATCTCCTCCAGTCACAAAGCTGTTCACCCTCAAATTGAGCGTGGTCAGCGTCATAGCGTCCCCGGTGGTCAGCTTGGAAGCAGCCGCAGTGCCTGTTGCAGCTCCCGCTATGCAGTCCCACAGCACCACGCAACCGTCGTCTCGCCCGCCCAACGAGATCATGTACCTCTCATCGGATGAAAACGTCAATGCTTCTACACGGACCTGTTACGATAAATACCCTTTGACGCCAAATTACGAATCACCGTATAAAGTTACTTGCAAGAGAAATCTGAATCTTTCTCTGCGCTTTGGGTTTAGGCCATTTAAGTCATATTGTATAGATAGCTCTCTCGAAACGTATCCAATCCAGCGCCCTAGCCATCTTCTTAGGGGACGATCGCATCAGATGGAGTATTGGAGGCCTTTATAGCCAGAGGCACACAGGTGTGTTTTAATCATTAGGCTTCAAACATAACCTACAGCCTGCTGTTGGGTATAAGGGTATCCATGAAAATATCATGCCAGCTTCCTCGCTGGGGGGAAAACAAACATCCCTACCCTTTATCAGGGATTGTATTGTATTCACTCTTAGTTTACTTTTATAAAATATATACAGGGTTACAGGGAAAGTCGTAGTGAATATTAACGAACGTTATTATTCAGGTCATTTCTGATGGATTTGGTCCTATAATATGGTGTCCGAAACTTAACCGTTATGGAGATATTGGATATTAAAGATTTTTTTTAAAAATCCTATATTTTATGGGTTTTTGTCGATTTTTTTGAAACTAGAGCTCCAAAGGTCCGATTTTTTAATGTATCTAGTTAGAAGACATGTCAAGCAATAAAAATAATGAATAAAAACTGAACCTACTTCTAACGGCAACGGTTATAACTAAAGAATTTTCACCAAGTGTTTTTAACTTTGAAGCGCTTTCCTAAAAAAAACATGTATGGAACTTATTCTGCAAATAATTTTAAAAACTTCTACGTCTCTTTAGCTATTCAAAAAGGTATAACACTTGCTATTAAATTGGAAAAACATTGACCAAATAACAGTTATGGTAGCAGAGGGTACATTTTTAGTTTGATGTAAAAATAGCAAAAATACGTAAATAAAACCAGAAAAGCATCATCATCATCATCACCAGCCTATTAATGTCCCCACTGCTGAGGCACAGGCCTTCCCTATTGATGGAATAGGGAGATTGGGCCATGACCCACCACGCGGGACCAGTGCGGATTGATGGGTGCTAACGACTGCAGATGCGGCCGGGACCAACGGCTTAACGTGCCTTCCGAAGCACGGAGGAGCTCGAGATAGTAATTTTTGGTCACCCATCCAATGACCGACCACTGCAAAAGTTGCTTAAGTTCAACGATCGCAGCCGAACGCACTAACCACTTGTGCCATCGAGCTGCTCAAAATTATGATTCATGTTCAACTTGGCCGCCGCTATTTCTAACACAATATACTCTCAATCTTTTTCTTAAATTACTTTTAACTACAGAAGTTTTTAAGTTCCGCCTCATATCCTCAGCCGCACCAATAAATCCTTTGTCGCAAAATATCGATATTTGCGATCGGCGTCATCTAGTCGTATACAAGGCTTTTCATATGACCCCACACATAATAATGAAAAGCCTTGTATACGACCAGATGATGCGATCGTTGAACTTAAGCAACTTTCGCAGTGGTCAGTCATTGGATGGGTGACCAAAAATTACTATCTCGAGCTCCTCCGTGCTTCGGAAGGCACGTTAAGCCGTTGGTCCCGGCCGCATCTGCAGTCGTTAGCACCCACCAATCCGCACTGGGCCCGCGTGGTGGGTCATGGCCCAATCTCCCTATTCCATCAATAGGGAAGGCCTGTGCCTCAGCAGTGGGGACATTAATAGGCTGGTGATGATGATGATGATGCTTTTCTGGTTTTATTTATGTATTTTTGCTATTTTTACCTCAAACTAAAAATGTACCCTCTGCTACCATAACTGTTATTTGGTCAATGTTTTGCCAATTTAATAGCAAGTGTTATACCTTTTTGAATAGCTAGAGACGTAGAAGTTTTTAAAATTATTTGCAGAATAAGTTCCATACATGTTTTTTTAGGAAAGCACTTCAAAGTTAACAACACTTGGTGAAAATTCTTTAGTTATAACCGTTGTTGAGCAGTTTTTTTAAACCGTTAGAAGTAAGTTCAGTTTTTATTCATTATTTTTATTGATTGACATGTCTTCTAACTAGATTCATTAAAAAATCGGACCTTTGGAGCTCTAATTTCAAAAAAATCGACAGTAACCCAAAAAATATAGGAGTTTTAAAAAAAATCTTTAATATCCAATATCTCCATAACGGTTAAGTTTTGGACACCATATTATAGGACCAAATCCATCAGAAATGACCTGAATAATAACGTCCTTCAATATTCAGTACAACTTTTCCTGTATATATATAAAGGGTGGACTAACATATTAGCCTAACTTAACCAGTACATTATTATATTTTGTTTGTAAGAAGGAAAGTAAATTATAGGTAATAAAGATAACATTAAATTTTACCAACTTTGTGCAATTCATGGCTGCCTAGCAGTGTCTTCTTTTTAAAATCCCACAACTTGGCAGAAGCTTTAAACCCAATGTGGTTGATTTGTCCGGAACCCACAAATGTTCCTTTTGGGGAAATTGCTACAGTAGACACACTGTTAGTATGGCCACTGAGAAAATACATTTTCTTTGTTTTCCACTCTTGAATGCAGACTTTGTTGCCCATAGGGTAGGCAATATGTTCACCATCAGGATGAACTTTTAACCCCCGAATAGCAGAGCCTACAAAACATATTTATTTTATGTTTCCAAGTAATTTACAGATGAAATTTGGGAATAGAGTAAACTTTATGTAACAAATCTATTATTACTTCAATTTAAGTTCAAGGTGGTTTGGTTTATTTTTTAGTAAATTTAAAACTAAGTTGAAGAATTTTGTGATCAAAATTAGATGTTTAGAAGTAAATAAAAAGTTAGCTATAATGTGAGCTCCTCCTAATAGCTATGTACTTCTTTGATGCTTGTTTTCACCAAGATTACTATTTACCATCAAACCCTATTATAGCATAGGTTTCCAAGTTTTTCACATCCATTCTTACAAAAAAATTACAATCTTATCAAGAATCAGTATAGTAATTCTGTAAAAAATAGAACAGTCTGACATCAGTCTTTGAAACTTGTTATTTTTTTATGTATACTGTTTTGAATGTTGCTTAGCAACTGAAAACTTAATGGCAATAGCTTATGGTTATCTGCCATCTATAGTTTTAGTTCTATGAATCACCAGTAAATATGACAGTATAGCTTTTTAAACATTCAAATTGGCATGTTAAATTAAGTAACATACTATTTGAGTCAACATACAGAGCTAATAATCTAATTACACTTACTGTCTACAAAATATTATTGTTGTTTATAAGAGATGTAAACAATGTTGAAAACATATTCTTTCATATTAAGTTCTACATTTACAAGCTAAATAAATTAAAGAAAATTATAAAAAATATATATTTATTTGATAACACTAAGGTACCAGTACCAGTTGACAAGAATAAATAACTCAGTCTGCATACATATAAACTGTTTTCTTTATTATCACTTTTTGCCTATGCATCGTCTTCGTACAGCTTTCGCTATCTCATCAATTTGTTCCTTTGCCACTTCGGCTGTACGCTTTGCCTCATTGATCATGTACTGTTTAAAAGTTGAAAGGAATTCCGAGAGCTGAAAATATAATCTTTGTTAGCAATGTTATTAAATTATGGAAACATACATTTATATCAGTAGCGGTCTCATCTTATAATTAATCTTCAAATTCATCAGAAATAGTTTTCTAATACTAGAAATAGTATTCTAATTCTATATACTTAGATATCAACAAAAATTCTTACAAGCAGATCATCTTCCTTCTTTCCCATTTGTACGAAGGCACATTTGGCAGCGTGACTTTTGTGCTCTGCCCAGGGGTCATCATTAGCTTCCCAACCATCCAATTCCTTTCCACATAGAAAACATTTTGCTGCATCTGCGTCATCATCACCGGTGGCAACTGAATAGAACCCTGCTTCGGCCATATTACGAATATTGCACTGGTTCTTATCGTTGAAAGGCCAATTCTTAAAAGTTTTAATCCTTTCATCAACTAAAAATAAATAACGACTTTCCATTTTGTGTCTTTGTCTCTACAATAAAAGGCTTCGATTTCCGTTTCTTTTTATGATTAAATTTTCTCTAACTTGCTAAAAATAATGAGTTTGGGCCCATTAAAATCTTTCCACGCAAACATGAAAAAGCAAAGATGTTCTGACCGTTTCAATTTTCAAAATTTGGTTGACATTTAGGGATGTTGTTCTAAATTTATCTTGTAGTAATCGATTATGAGTAAACCGATTTATTGTTTTTTTTTTATTAAATACGACAAGATTTTTTCCATGATTGAATCGTATAACCCGGAGATCTGAATAGTTTGCCGCTACCTTTACCTTAGCAAAGAAGACGGTTCAAAAGTGGTATTCGGTTTTCAGCACCGATAAAACATATATCATTTGAAAGCTTCATTTATGTAATACCATGAACAGATACTGGTGTCAATTCTGACACGATTCTCTAAACCTAAACTTAAATTTGACAACAGTGTATCCTTGTCATTCTCTATACAGAATAAAAAATGGTTGCCTGTAAAGTCGGTTTTACGGGCGAAGATTTTACGTGACAACGTCTTTTTCTCGGTAGAATATTTATTGATATGAATATAATTAAATTGCACAATAGGAACAAGGAATTGAATGAAAATAAGAATTGCACAAATTTTAACTATAGAAATATATTTTGTTTACTAAAACATTGTACATGTAAACTTAAACTTAACACGAGAGACTCATCGTAACGTTACCGAGCGTTACACTTTTTCATAAGTGACTCCCAGCCGCAACCTAATTTAAGACGTTGTCACGTCAAAAGAAGAGTCTGTTTTAAGTTTAGAGAATCATGCGAGAATCAACACCAGTATTTTGATATTATTTATCTCGAGGTTGAAAACTTAAGAATTTCGAAAGGATTCTGGCAACCCAATCATAAGTTTTGTCATATTTATGTTTTTATTTATTTTTAAGCATTTAACTGCTAGATGTTTAAATCTAAAGAAAAGTTTACTAGAAAAAAAGCATATTTTCATTCTCTGGCAGCTTCTAATGTCAACTCAATCACTACGTCAAATGTCAATCAGTCCAGTCATGCATGATATTCATCCCAGACATTGGCAGAATCGTCACGTAATGAGACGCAGCCATAATCACCAAAAATTGAATTGAATGATATTCATGAAATCATAGTGAAATTATCATACCAAGGTATTATTATTTTTTCTTGAAATAAAATATCCACAAAATACCTTATAATAGAATACGGAATGACAGAATAATTATCAGTGCTTTAGTTACCTATTGAATAGAATATATATGAGTTTCAATACATGATTTTACTTAGCTACCAGCATCTCCACAAAATTTTGGAAATACAGTTTTTTGCATACTTTGCTTGGGTGTTAAATCAATAATTTTACATGTTTTTATATATTTCGTTTCTATTTTTCAAAATCAAATGAGAAAATTGAAGGTCATTCGATTCAGATCATGGATCGGTTCAATGCAGAAGATCAGGAATCCCTATTGACATTGACACCTTTGGCACATTAAAGTCATTGCTTTGACTTAACCATTGACATTTTATAATTTGTTCACACTTACGTAGGCAAAAGCCAAACCATACAGCCTTGTCATAAGTAGCTTTTTCAAAAAGATCAATTAGGAACATAATTATGGTAGACACTACGCTCGACCCAACACGTGCATACATTGGTGTCAATTCTGACACGATTCTCTAAACCTAAACTTAAATTTGACAACAGTGTATCCTTGTCATTCTCTATACGGAATGAAAAGGAGAGATTGATGTTAAATTTAGTTTTAAGTTTAGAGAATCACGCCAGAATCGACACCATTGACTGGTTTAAAACAATCTGATATTAGAGTCACGCACACATTGTGCGTAAAAAGAGCCGGTTTCTTTGCTTGGTTTATTTGTATTGCTCTTTTTAGGCGTGAATATAATCAAAGCTAATGACCTTAGGGTCCTTGTCATACTCTTTACAGAATGATAAGGAGAGACTGTTGTCAAAATTTGAAACTCATTGGTTTCGATTCCGGCATAATTCTCTAAATCTTACTTAAATTTTACAACAGTGGTGCCAATTCTGGCGTGATTCTCTAAACTTAAAACTAAATTTAACATCAGTCTCTCCTTTTCATTCTGTATAGAGAATGACAAGGATATACTGCTGTCAAATTTAAGTTTAGGTTTAGAGAATTATGCTAGAATCGACACCAGTGTATCCTTTTTATTCTCCATAGAGAATAAAAAAATATTAGTTTATATCATGTTTATACAGTAATTCCGTGATAAACCTACTTTTGATAAAGCATTCAATAATGTTCTTTTTTTTATAAAAATTAGGCTGTGTGAATTCAAAACTGTGTAGCTTACCAAATTGAAAAAAAATGAATGTGATTGATGAACTTGAATGAAGTTCAAGCCAACCAACGGTAATCTGTGATCAGGGGCACAATTCTTGTTTCATAGACATTATTGTTCGAAGTCGATTTTTCGATTGCTGTATTCGTATCAATCGAGATAAACTTCGAACAAATTACGATTCGAAAAGCGTTAGGTCACGTAGGTCATGGTCTTGATCTCCTGGTTGCGTTCTAAAACTACGCGCTGAGTGCAATTATTCACCTTGATGTTTAAACTTTGTCGTAGGTTACATAGATTTTATATCAAAATTTTAACGTCATGGCGAAAAGTAAATGACGGGGAACCCCTGTCGTTGAAATTACGGTTTCTTGTAATATATTTTGCATTAAATCAATGATAAATTTGTCAGTCATTATAAATATAATACTGATGTCGATTCTGGCATGATTCTCTAAAGCTAAACTTAAATTTGACAACAGTGTATCTTTGTCGTTCTCCATACAGAATGAAAAGGACAGACTGATGTTAAATTGAGTTTTATGTTTAGAGAATCACGCCAGAATCGACACCAGTATTTAGGTAAATATGCATTGTATAATAGTGTGACTTTCGACGTTTGTAATGTCGAAAGCAATGCCTACGTTACGTCTCGAACGGTTCCACCTGATCAAGCCGTTTTTGCTCAAAAATGTTGCATTCGACTTTATGAGAATAGCACTATTTCATTTTTACTTGAAATAAAATCAAATTGGGACTTTTATTCGAATTCGTAATTTAGTCGAGAGCATGAGAGTTGGCCCCCTAAGCAACGGGTCTCCTCTCGTAGACAGACCCGTTCGTTCATTCATTTTGCTGCGCTGCCTGAATTTGATTCAACCAATCAGATAGTTGAATGTCTCCCAATTAAATAAATATTTTTATCATTCGTTTGAGTGAAGAAAGATTCTACATTATTCTACATTCATTTTATTTGACTTTGAAACCCCAGAGTTTCTGTAATTTTTAATAAATAAAAGAAAAGTAGACTGAGCTAGATTTAGCGATAAAACTAGTAGCGACAAAAGTAGATTGAACTGTAATTACCTAATAAAGTTTAGAATTCTCCAGAATCACGAACAAAAGTGCCTAATATTTACAGCTTGTATTGTTTCTAATTACAATATTAACTTTCGTTTGTTTTTGTCAGTGCTTGTGCTTTACGCGGGTCTTGCCATGGTCCGAGCTGTTTTCTAGCATCGTCCAGTCGAGTACAATATTTTGGTAAGTGTTACGATAACTTTAGGTTGCTTCTTTTTGCTATATGTCCTAAAGAACTATGGTAGCAATGTTGCATTGTGTGTTATGGTCTTTATAATCGTGATTATTTTCGGATGAATTTAATACATCTCCCTATTCGATCCATAGGGAAGGCCTGTGTCTCAGCAGTGAGGACATTTAAAAGTCTGATGATGATGAATTTATACATTTCAAAAGTCTTGTTCTTAATTGGTTTCTATTCCCTAAACCTCTTTGAGACACTCCAATTCATATGTTAAGTTTTAGCAGGTCATTAATATGATGCACCTGAAAAAATTTGTGCTTAGGGGGCCAATAAAACTTACTAAGGCACCATGTATTGTAAAAGGTGTCATTTAAAATTTCATTTCAGATATATTAAAGCCCTCTAAAGTTTTTAGTTTTTGTCAGGCAGTAAACAGAAATATGGATCACCAGGTTTCAATTTCACCAAACCATTGTTGAATGTAATTCATCAACATCATGAATTATTTGAATTAATTGTTTGAGTATGACTCTCTCAATAATTGTAAACAAATATTCATTAAAATATTTTAATCATAATAGTTCATTAGAAATAACTATAACAATTATGTGTGTATAATTAATATTTGTGCACTTTACATTTTTATAATAATTAAATGTACCCCTAATAAGATTCCAATGAAGGAGAAGGACCTTCTGAGCAGACAGCAGAAGTGCTCTCAAAAGTTTACTGTACTTTTTTAAAATTGGGCCAATTTAGTATTTCCTAATTAAAATTTCAGTTTTGCATTAGTGTTGTCAAAATGGAGAATAAAGATCTTGAATTAGCACACATTACTTTCTCGCTAAGAAAAGGGGAATGTCCACTAGTAATGCTCAGGGTCTTACCTCAGAATGACTCTGTCTGATATCTGGGCATGCATCTTGACAAGAGATTGACATGGAATAAATAATTAATAATTTTATACACAAAGATTAAACATTAACAAATAAAATGAATAAAAAATCGCAGATCATAATGATAAAAAATAGTTTAGTTGTGTTGAAATCGCCGCTTGATTGTCCATAGAAAGAGAAAACATTTGAAATGAATACCAAAGAATAAACACTAACTGTCCCATTATAACAGGATTATATGAGTATTAATTAATCATGCTCGAACCAACAGTCAAGTTCAGTGTTTTATTACAAACAGGACAGCCATTTTTCACTTTTATTATCTACCCAACTTTACGGATTTGGCCTAGTTAGTGAGACAGCTCGGCGCCAAGAATTATTTTAATAAATCTGCGAAAATGTGAAATAGTGGCCCTAAAGATAGCTTATGGAGTCAGGAATAATAATTATGTAGTATTTTATCTTAATCGCTATAATGTTATGTGATTTCACTGATAACAATTGATTTCTTGGATCGTAACAATGGCATATCCTAAATGATGATAAAAAAATACTTTATTTGCATTGACAACAGATTGCAATTACGTATGAAATTATGGTTTTGTTATCTTATCATCAATCAAAGAATTATCTCTGCCTTGTTTGTTATCATCAAGATCCTTTCGATTCTACCATTATCATTTCGTAATATCATCTTCATCAGGACAACTTATTAATAGTTAAGAAAATGAAAGATCTGTTTATGCGATTATTAATTTAGGTTATTACTACCGAATTTAATGTGTCCGACCTAATAACCGTATCTCTTGCCCGACTTCTATTGTGGTGAATACCATAAAGACAAAAGGTTTACATTTTTTCCGTTAAAAAAAAATACACCACATTAACGCTAAAAACGGGCCGCAATGCGGCGAGCGCATCGATCCGGGGACCTATCCCGCTTTTCCCAAAAATGAAAATCGTGATAGGTTACCGACGACATGGAACCTGGAACATATGTTCCAGTCGGAAACCTTTCCCTAACACCGTTTGTGCTTGATCGAATTTCACAGGCGTAACTTATGGGTAAGTGTGGGGTAAGCTACAAGAAGTGTCATACATCTGTTTTGCCTCCACGTTTAGCAAAATATGATAAACCTGTCTGTCCGTCTGTCTTCCGATATTCATTATAATACTCATTTGAGAAGTGTCTAGTTTATTTACTTTCGGATTTGCCTTCTAATAGATTTACGAAAGTAGTTCTAGCAAGATTGAAACTATTAATTAATAATGAATGTAGTGCTCAGAATACTAGGATATTTTGAAACTCAAGTTACGTTAAATCCTAATAACGAACTGAGAATCAGCTTTACTATAGAAACTAATATTCCAGAGAACAATATCGTTTTCCGATCATGATCCATGTTTGTAGTACACGACACGGCACAAGAAATAAGATACTTGTTTGTGTTACTCCATCCGCGTGAATCTGCTTGAAACTTTTTTTATATCATACACTACAAATATAACAAACCACGTGATATAACTCGAAGGTACTTGATGGTGCAAATACATAATTTTAGGTAAGTGTAGGTACAATGAGCCAGAACACACAAACATATTCGAGCGCTTACCAGCAGTTTAAAAATGGACACAAAAATTGGCTAAATTTGATTTTAATAATGTTTGCACAATACTACTATCAGTTTCAAGTTTTCAATGACACAGAAGCAAAGTATCATCCATCATCACCTTAGAGTTCACTTAAAAAACTTACATATTAAAAAGCTGTGTCCTACTAAATGAATAAATTATATGTCAAGTGTCTAAATTTTAAGACACACCATCAGTGTGGCAAAGTAAAACGTCTGAGTTTCTAAATTCATACTGTTTGGAAATATCAAGATCACCCGAAAATTGTTTATGTTCACATTGAGTCACATTGCCACGTGGTAGCAAGCGTGTGACTCAATGTGAACATAAACAATTTTCGGGTGATCTTGATATTTCCAAACAGTATGAATTTAGAAACTCAGACGTTTTACTTTGCCACACTGATGGTGTGTCTTAAAATTTAGACACTTGACATATAATTTATTCATTTAGTAGGACACAGCTTTTTAATATGTAAGTTTTTTAAGTGAACTCTAAGGTGATGATGGATGATACTTTGCTTCTGTGTCATTGAAAACTTGAAACTGATAGTAGTATTGTGCAAACATTATTAAAATCAAATTTAGCCAATTTTTGTGTCCATTTTTAAACTGCTGGTAAGCGCTCGAATATGTTTGTGTGTTCTGGCTCATTGTACCTACACTTACCTAAAATTATGTATTTGCACCATCAAGTACCTTCGAGTTATATCACGTGGTTTGTTATATTTGTAGTGTATGATATAAAAAAAGTTTCAAGCAGATTCACGCGGATGGAGTAACACAAACAAGTATCTTATTTCTTGTGCCGTGTCGTGTACTACAAACATGGATCATGATCGGAAAACGATATTGTTCTCTGGAATATTAGTTTCTATAGTAATGCTGATTCTCAATTCGTTATTAGGATTTAACGTAACTTGAGTTTCAAAATATCCTAGTATTCTGAGCACTACATTCATTATTAATTAAAAGTTTCAATCTTGCTAGAACTACTTTCGTGAATCTATTAGAAGGCAAATCCGAAAGTAAATAAACTAGACACTTTTCAAATGAGTATTATAATGTAGATCGGAAGACAGACGGACAGACAGGTTTATCATATTTTGCTAAACGTGGAGGCAAAACAGATGTATGACACTTCTTGTAGCTTACCCCACACTTACCCATAAGTTACGACTGTGAAATTCGATCAAGCACAAACGGTGTTAGGGGAAGGTTTCCGACTGGAACATATGTTCCAGGTTCCATGTCGTCGGTAACCTATCACGATTTTCATTTTTGGGAAAAGCGGGATAGGTCCCCGGATCGATGCGCTCGCCGCATTGCGGCCCGTTTTTAGCGTTAATGCGGTGTATTTTTTTTTTGACGGAAAAAATGAAAACCTTTTGTCTTTATGGTATTCACCACAATAGAAGTCGGGCAAGAGATACGGTTATTAGGTCGGACACATTATATTCGGTAGTAATAACCTAAATTAATAATCGCATAACCAGATCTTTCATTTTCTTAACTAATAATAAGTTGTCCTGATGAAGATGATATTACGAAATGATAATGACAGAATCGAAAGGATCTTGATGATAACAAACAAGGCAAAGATAATTCTTTGATTGATGATAAGATAACAAAACCATAATTTCATACGTAATTGCAATCTGTTGTCAATGCAAATAAAGTATTTTTTTATTATCATTTAGGATATGCCATTGTTACGATCCAAGAAATCAATTGTTTTCAGTGAAATCACATAACATTAAAGCGATTAAGCTAAAATACTAGATAATTATTATTCCTGACTCCATAAGCTATCTTTAGGGCCATTATTTCACATTTTCGCAGATTTATTAAAATAATTCTTGGCGCCGAGCTGTCTCACTAACTAGGCCAAATCCGTAAAGTTGGGTAGATAATAAAAGTGAAAAATGGCTGTCCTGTTTGTAATAAAACACTGAACTTGACTGTTGGTTCGAGCATGATTAATTAATACTCATATAATCCTGTTATAATGGGACAGTTAGTGTTTATTCTTTGGTATTCATTTCAAATGTTTTCTCTTTCTATGGACAATCAAGCGGCGATTTCAACACAACTAAACTATTTTTTATCATTATGATCTGCGATTTTTTATTCATTTTATTTGTTAATGTTTAATCTTTGTGTATAAAATTAAACCCTATGTCCCTTGATCACCCAACTTAAGAAGAGAACGAACAACTTTACCGATTCATCCCATATATTTTTAAGGTTTTCCAATATTTGTTTGAGGGTTTTTACGAAAAAAAATACAATTCACAAAGCTGTTCCAAAATAAAGTTAGCTTGGACAAGGTCACGAACTGAAGCTAAAAGTAAATAATGAAAACCCTAATGTAACAGATCTATACCTAAAAGGTGTCAAAATTATTTTGCTATTGTGATGCTAATGGTAACATTCACGAATGACCTTGAATGATATTGCTGTATTACGTTT